TATAATATTAATAATTTTATTTTAAAAAAGATCTGCTGTGACTGGAATTGAACCTCCATCCTTCAGCTTCCAAGTCAGGCTCCGCAACCACTAGACAACAGGATACGATGTCCACACGAGTATGGATAAAGTACGTGTGGGAACGTGTACTGTTTATCATACACACAATAAAGTTAAGAGTCAAATGGTTTCCTGTGGACCACGGTATTGATAACGGGTAATTCGTCGATTTAAAATTAATTGTCGGCACGTATCAACTTTCAACCATGATAAATCAAAAAATATATTTCTCGTCATAATAACATAAGTATAATTCTAAATTTGATCTTAATAGGCGTATATACTTATGGACATCGTACAGAACTAGTTTTAAACATAGTAATTTTTACTATACTGAATAATAATGCAGTGAAATGAGAAATTTTACGATGTGACATAGCAAATTATACTTTAGAATGTGGGACATTTTTAAAAAATTACAATAAAGTTTACTGTGTTGTACAGCAAAGATTATACTATTTAATTTTTACTATGTTAGACATAGTAATTTTCATTATGCCGTGTAATAATTTTTGTAGGGCTACTGCATGATAAACATTATTTAAAATAAAATAAAAAGTATTTTAAAGATAATAATTTTGCGTCATCAGATGAGTATGTCTAAGCTTTCCTAAAAATATAGTAATTTTTAGTATAGGTATAATACTTTTTTCAACACTACTTTTCTCAGTGTATATGATAGGAATTAGCTAATTATGCACCTAGTGAGCGAGGTTAAGGATGTCGCAGATTTCACACGAATAACCGCCTGAAGTAAAACCGTGGGCGGTTAATGTGAAATCTAGGGCATTTCTCAACCTCCGAACGTTGTGCGTATACGATTTTACGTCTCCTGGCGCTTGGTAAGTGAGAAATCCCACCCAGGTAGCAAGCGGTATTTTTCACTTACGGAGAACCATTAATGTAATAGATATCTTTTTTCTCTTACTCAAATATAAAAACTATTTTGGAACAAAGAAGTAGTTATTATATTGATTCAATATTGAATAGTAAATTTTTATGTAATCTTGTTTAACAACGTAGCGTAGTAATTTTTATGATATAGTGAGTATGTTTCAGCTTTTCTAAAAAGTGTAGTAATTTTTATTATTGTTGTAAAAATTTTTCTAACAACATTTCCTTCAGTTTAGTAAAAAATAATCGCATTAATAAGGAGAGTAATATATAAAGAAAAAAAGGAGTTATAAAAATTGCTGTACTAGAATGGTAATCTGGAATCACTATTATTTACAGACTTTTTTTTGGCAATCTCATTTTTTCTATGCTAGACTACAATTTTTAATGTACTAGCAGCTGAAGGCACTGGAATTACTACAAAAATACTGTTTATAACGGTAAAATTCATCGTACACGCAGTTAACCAGTTAACAATAGTACAAAAGTAAGAGGTATTTTAACCATAGAAAAGTACCTGATTACCACTCTAGCAAACAAATTTTCAGGATTGTTCTCTCTTTCTTTACATAGACATCAGATTCAATGTCTATTATACAACGTTTTTTTAAATTAATAAAAATAGTCATGATTTATAATGATGTATAAAAATAACTTTCAAAGTATTGCAATCATACCATCAGCATTCAAAATATCTTAAGCGTATTTTTAAAAGACCTTTATATCAGTGTTGTACTGTATTTTGTCAATTCCTAATACATTCAAAAAAATAAGCTTACAGGCAAGCAACGTGTATCATTTTAGTATTTTTTAACAGTATTTTTATACTTCAGAAAATTGTGATTAATTTTTTATTTTCAAATTATTTTAACTAATAATTTTATATTTATTTTAGACATTCTACCTTATACGGGAATACTTTAACGAAGATATTTCTTGATTCTAAGCATAATATGAACTGGTTTTCTCTATCGAAAATAAAATACTTCTATAAATATTCTGCATAATTCAATTGGTTTTTTAAATCAGAAAATCCTGCATTCTACGAAAAACATAAGTACAAAGAGTTTTGTAATTAAGTAATTTAAGCTTGATTTCCAAAACTAAGTAGTAAATATATAAGGTTCTTTGTGATCACATTATACTATTTTATTACAAGCAAGGAAGACAAATCTTTTCATTTTCTGCAAATCTTATCAAAAATCTTTACTTAAAAATAATGTTATTTTATTATTAAGTAATATACGAATTGGTTTTTGGTTGCTAGTTGCTACTCCAACGGTTATTACATCTAACGGTTTTAAAGAAGTAGTGTCTGTTAAAAAATTGCTTTTTAGTAGACTTTTTTTAATGTGTATCAAACATAATTTTTGAAGTTTTTTGGTTATAGTAAATTTCAACTTTTAACTTTTGTACTCATTTTTATTTTTTAATTAGCAGAACACAATTATGCTCATTCTCAGTCTTTATAAACGTTTACATAAACACTCTCAATCTTTCCCTTCCAAGATTTATGTTACCACTTAGTAAACAAATCTTTAAAGACAACTTTTAGTTTGAAATGCTATATTATCAAATGAATAATTAAGTTATAAATTGAAATGTTTCTTTGTATAAAAATTCGTGCAGTGTAGTTTAATTAGTAAAAGACACTTGCGATAATAACATGTAGTTTCATTCTAATTTTCATTAAATCAAGTTTTTGTCGAAACATATATTTTCAGAGTCAACAAATTAATAAGAGTTACTAATGAATATACTTGTATTAGAAGCTTATTTCATTTTACTTTTGTCTACAATTTAACGCAATTGATTCTGAAAAAATTCTGCCAAATAATACACTTGGCCTCTTTCAATCAATCCCACTACGAATAAAATGGCTTTAGTCACATGGCAATCAATCTTAAAAGATAAGATTTTTAAATTAAGTTAATGCTCCAGCAGGTAAATTGTTTGCTTGTAAAAACTAGAACCGACTACATGATGTAACGTTGTTATAACTATACACCCAAGATGTTAAAATTTTTTTTTAGTTTCTCTTTAAAAACAATGGAGACTGTCGGGCTTATTTAAGTCAACTAATTTAATTAATGAGGTACTAGCTGTTAAGAAAATATTTTTGCGTACGTGTGTAGATACTTATGTATTGCAATTGTAAAGAAACCAATAACTTGTAATGTTATAAGCACTTTTCTCATGTTAAAGACTTAGAATAATTTACCTTTTAGATTTCGTTTTAAATAATATTCATTAGAGGTTGATTTTAAGAACAGTAAATATTTTATATACTATGAATAAATATCACTTACTTTTTGCTTAATATTAGTTGCAGTTACTTCATACTATTTATTAGTACAATTCTTCAATATTCTGCATTAAGCGTTTTAGTTAAAGTTAACAATTAGAAACAATTAGTATTGCAATGATTTCAAAATTATTGCCAATCTTGTAAATATTATGTTTCAAGGGGGGAAGGAAATTTTGTTATGCATTGGAGATTAAAATGACTAATTAATTGAAACGTAAGAATTAAAAAGTTAAATTTAACAAGTACCTTCAGAAAATATAATAATAAAAGGTGTAGAAAAGTTAAGTAACCAAGAAAAAATCATTAAAACAAGTAGATGGTACATACTGTTACATAAAATTTGTCTTAATGATTCAAAAGCCAAAAATACCTGAAGAAGGTCTATCTGAATATCTGGTGCAGTATATCCAAGCTGGCCAAAGACTTTGTGCATTAGTGGAGTTTTTTGAGTTTAAAGAACTGTCGGAAATGCTGTCATTGTTGTGAGACTCAGGACTGGTACTGAGTACTGTAGACAAAGTAACAGAAGACGAGAAAGTAGAGGAAGAACAGGACGGTGATGATGTTGATGAAGGTGAACAGTGAACTGATCCTCCTACTATAGAACTGCGGCTACTGGCCAAGCTTTCAAGACTACCACTTCTGCTAAGACAAGAGGAAATTCTATGTGTGGGTGAGTCAAGTCCACAGTGTGATGAGAGACTATCACGTGAATCTCTGTGAACTGCGGTAACAATGCTAAATCCAGAGTCAAATATCGATGAGGAAGAGTTAGGTGACAGACAGCTCGATGACGCAAGACTGAGATTTTGGGGGAGGCCAAGTGACCTCTCAATGGGTAGCTGTAATACCTTTACTGGAGTCAATCGCCTCAAAGATAAGTTACGAGTGCTTAGAATGGCTGCTTGGCCAAATTCTGGCCTTAGTATATTAACAACACTAAAATGTAGCAATGAGTTTTCTGATGATTTATGTAGCTCTTCTCCATGCTTCGGCTCTGACGTTGCAACGTTATCTTCATTTGGCATGTGCTGCTGTTGTTGTATTTGAATACTTTGCTGTTGGCTTGAAATACCAAATTTGCTAAAGGCGTGTGCTACGTCCATTGCTGCCAGTACTACACTCATTATTTTATAATACTACGTATTACTGTCTCTACTTGCATGAAAATGTTATTATTTTAAATTTGTCTGAAAAATGCACTCTTAACCTTTGGAGAACCATGTTTTTTTACAGCTTCAAGTATACTTTACGAACACACATATGTCTTATCTTTGCTTTTTATGAACATAAGTATTTTAAGAACTAAAATTATTGTAACTTTTAACACTTATTCACAGCACAAATACACACACGAACTGGATCATCAACTCAAAGACTCAAGAAACATTTAAGTTGTTCTGCTTACAAATGCAACAACAAGCTAATAAAATAGTAAAATTGGAAGTCTACCAACTTGTTCAGCCTTTTTTCTGCCATACTGGCTGACTATGTACATTTAACATAATTTTAACAAAGTTTTCCGTAAAACTTTTTAGGACCGAAGTGATTGCCGTGACAACTCTGACTGGCTATCCATCCGTCGCCTAGTGATGTCTAAACTTCGCTGGCCATGGCGTTAGCCCCTAGTGAGGTGTAAAGTTGTTAAGACATGCCCACTTTCACTCCCTTCCATCACTTCTTCTACGATAGGCTGACGAGTTTACTGGATTAGACAGCCTCGATTGTATCTCTATCAAGGTCCAGTGTAATAGCTCCTCCCACAAAATCCTGAAGCAATGTTGATTCGATACTAGTTGGTGATTCCCCACCCTTGTGATTTTTCTACTCGTCGACTGCCTTTCAACAGCTTAGTACCCAATGCAGTTACATGTTTAAGGAGGGGGTGAGGCGGGCTTACATGTATCTCTGTTTTGTTTTACTTGGTTACTTTCCATGTAGTCTATTTGTGTATGCGTTATTAATGTAATCTTTGCTAAGTTGCTGTATTCTTATGGTAGCTTACACTAAAATGATATACTATATGTCTTATTCTAATAGTAATACATTTTACGGCTCTTTTTTATTCTAAAGTAACTTTTTTCTCATTTTATTCATATTTTTTTTGTGCCTTTCTGAAACAAAAAAAAAAACCTAAGAGGTTACAAATTAAAATGTGTCTGTTAAAAAATTGCTTTTTAGTAGACTTTTTTTAATGTGTATCAAACATAATTTTTGAAGTTTTTTGGTTATAGTAAATTTCAACTTTTAACTTTTGTACTCATTTTTATTTTTTAATTAGCAGAACACAATTATGCTCATTCTCAGTCTTTATAAACGTTTACATAAACACTCTCAATCTTTCCCTTCCAAGATTTATGTTACCACTTAGTAAACAAATCTTTAAAGACAACTTTTAGTTTGAAATGCTATATTATCAAATGAATAATTAAGTTATAAATTGAAATGTTTCTTTGTATAAAAATTCGTGCAGTGTAGTTTAATTAGTAAAAGACACTTGCGATAATAACATGTAGTTTCATTCTAATTTTCATTAAATCAAGTTTTTGTCGAAACATATATTTTCAGAGTCAACAAATTAATAAGAGTTACTAATGAATATACTTGTATTAGAAGCTTATTTCATTTTACTTTTGTCTACAATTTAACGCAATTGATTCTGAAAAAATTCTGCCAAATAATACACTTGGCCTCTTTCAATCAATCCCACTACGAATAAAATGGCTTTAGTCACATGGCAATCAATCTTAAAAGATAAGATTTTTAAATTAAGTTAATGCTCCAGCAGGTAAATTGTTTGCTTGTAAAAACTAGAACCGACTACATGATGTAACGTTGTTATAACTATACACCCAAGATGTTAAAATTTTTTTTTAGTTTCTCTTTAAAAACAATGGAGACCATACACTAAGAGAAATGGTGTTAGAAAAAGTGTTACAACTATAGTAAAAATTACTATATTTTATAGAAAAGCTGATATATACTCGCCATATTATAAAAATTACTATGCTACACAGTAAAACCCGATTATATAAAAATTTGTCATTTGACATAGTAATTTTTACTTCGTGCAAGAATGATTTTTATATTAAAGTAAGATAAGGAATACATACATACACATATATGTTTTACACTAAATATTTAAATGTAACTAACAGAAGATTAAAATTTATAGTTCTTTTGTGCATAGATATCTTTTTCCTTTCAGAATACTGATACCTACTAAAGTGTTTAAAAAATGTTTTATTCTAAAAAAGATCTGCAGTGACTGGGAATTCAACCTTCGTCTTTTGTAGATTTCCTGTTGACAATACTGTTAATAACGAATAATCAGTCGATTCTAAAGTATTTGTCTGCAGATATCCATTTTTAACCATTGTAAATTAAAAAAATATGTTTCTTGTCATGATTACATTAATGTATCCCTAAATTTGAAAATCATTAGGCGTGTATACTTATAGATGTTATACAAACTTACTTTCGCTCGTAGTAATTTTTACTATACTGAATAGCAATGCAGTGTAATGAGATATTTTACTATGTCACAAAGCAAATTCTACTTTAGAATATGGGACATTTTAAAACGATTAGAATAAAATTACTGTGTTGTACAGCAAAAATTGTACGATTACAGTTTTTACTATGTTAGACATAGTAATTTTTATTACGCCATGTAATTATTTTTGTATGGCTGCTACACAGAAATAAATATTTCAAGTGTAATAAGAATTATTTGAAACGTTACGATTGGCGTCATAAGGTGAGTATGTCTTAGCTTTTCCGAAAAATATAGAAATTTTGATTACAGTTATTATCCTTTCTTAACACCACTTTCATCAGTGCGGTCAAATTAAAAAATTAAAAATTTGTGACCGTCACTGACGGTGAAGATGTTTGTCAAAAAATCAGACAAAATTACTAAATAGTTTTCTCATGAAGTACTACCTATCTCAAAAGCTTATAGGGCTATATAGGGTGCCAAACTGGTCAGTGTTGCCCAGGGTACCAGAATGTCTTAAGCCGCCCCTGTGGGTACTTCAGTTAAACGTTACGTCAGTATTATTACTTTTTTAAATATAATTTTTAAAGCGTATTTATTTATTGGTATAGTTTGTATATGTTGTACATGTATGTATGTGCATGCATGATTATGGGCAAGAAAACATTTGTACGGCTGTATAAATACGTGAAAGTATGCATTAACGTACGTTAAGATTTTTAAGTAACCTGGTTACGTTTATATTCAGGAGTTTCGTGAAAAATTACTTCAAATTTGTGTATGAACATGGGGCATTCTTTTTCAGATTCGACCTTCCCCTCTCTGCCCAAAAATTAAGGCAATATGAGAAAAATTTTTTGTGCTCATTTTAAAGATAATGTACAACACTTTTTGTTAGAACGTGGCTCTTGATAAAAAAATGATATTGCTTACGATTGATACAGGTTATATAAGGTAATGTTGACTAAAAAATGTATTAATACAATTATAAAAAGTATAAAAATGGGTAACTTTATGTAAAATGGTTATAATAACGGATATTTTAGGTCCCTGAATAAGAATTCTATGTCTAACATACCGTACAAGGTAATCATTTTTTTAACCTTAAATAAAGCTAAGCACCGTAATTTTAAAGCTTTAAGTTTAACTTTTTAACAATCAACGAGAACAAAAATGATCCATTTGCATATAACAGAGAAAAATAAATTATTATTTTTAACTGAAGATACTTTCCAATGTCTGAACAAACTTATAACCTTAAAAAAATGAAGATATTAAAAGTTACCCTCGTGTTTTGAATAAAAATATAAATTTCGAATAAGACTTTCGCAAGTTACTTATATCGTTAGACTTATACTTACTTCTTAAATTACTTTGCAATGTCAGGATTCCAACCTAATCTATACAAAAATATAAGCTTGAAGTTCAAGTGATTCACAGACATTTTTTTAACTGACAAGACAGTAACATATAGAGTACTTCTAATTTATTTGAATTACTAAATCCAAAATTACCATTCTTATAACTAACGCAGTATATAAACCATAAATTACACAGAAAAATTGTTGTTTCTGATAATAAATTCTGTAACAGAATAGTATGCCAACGTTAAGCTTGTATTTCTGGTAGGTATCCACATAATTTAGGTTTGTAACTTACTTAGTAAATTTAAATATTCCTAGTTAAACAGAGATGAACAACATCATAAATTCAAAAAATTTAACTTAATTCAACTAAAACCTGGGGGACGTGCATAGTACGCTGGCTGCAAAGAGAAGTGTTTAATATAACAAGCCTACAAATAGGGCTCAAGTAAACAGGCAGTTTAGAAGGTCTATAGTTATAATCCTTAAATTGTATTTAGGTATCAACAGGGCGTAAAATTTTATTTACAACTACACAAAGAAGAGGCTTTTTTTTTAAAAAGTAGGATGTAACTTCAATACCTTAGGCAAAGACAGGCTAAAGCTAACTTTGTACTAGCAAAATAATATATTCTTACTACGGAAATTCCAAATAACCAAGTATAATATTCAAGTTAGCCAGAACCACGAAGCTCTGTGTAAAAAAGACGCAAAGTGCCCTAAAGTGCCCCATTATATAAAAAAAATTGGATTTTTATAAATTGAAAAATTTCGTAACATAATATCTAGCAATAAGTATTATAAAGTTTTTAATCAATATGTACACACGTAAAAATAATTAATTTCGTTTCTAATGAAAACTCAAAACCATGAATATCTTTTGGAAACCACTTCATGAGTATTTATTTATTATTCAAAATATGGAAAGAATAATTTTTGAAATATCAAGTACAGGTACAGCTGCGTCAAATCTTTCCTTCAGATACTGTATTGATTTTTAATGACTCACTTTACTAAAGTGAAATATTTTTTATATTTTTGGAATAATCTTATGACCACTAGAACAATGAGCCTGTCGTAAGAATAGCTTCTGGTGGTTAAGCTACGAGACTCGCTCTGTAAGCTCTTCTTTTAAAAGTAGCTTCTATGCCATTACAACTACTATTACCACGAGCAGTAGTACTACTGTGCTATTCTACTTGCAAGCCAAAATCGTGTTTGTGGTTTTTAAGGTTTGCAATCTGGTACTTATATATTTTAAAAATGTTGTTTGGTGCTGTCAGTCATATATATATATATATATAATGTAAGTTACATCTTCAAAATTGTGTTTGATCTCGGGAATTAGTTTTTTTGTATTCTGTATACAGACGCCGTATCATGTTCAAGACTATTCTATAAGAATACATAAATATTACGAATCAACTCTTAATTTTTTCTAGAATAATAAACTTTATTGAAAACAGTGCACTGCTCATTGTTGAAATGAAAAGCTTGAGA